CTTCTAACAAGTTTCACTGCTGCAGTCTTGATCCAAGTAACTCTGCCTTACATTTTGGAAGTTCTAAATCTCTTACAAGATCATTTAATTCTGACTGTGTTATTTTGAGCGGTTGGTGGCATGATGTGCTCGGTATAAAATCAGGATCTCTTGACTTTGATGGCATATCTTCTTCCTGACGAATCATTCGATCGCCATGATCTGATTCGTTTTCTGATTCGCAAGTGTAGGATTCTGGGGGTTTTGGAATAGGATTTTCGTCACTGTGAGGCACAGGTCTCATTGCAGATGGTATGTTTGGGTAGTTAATAACCGATTTTTTTTCTTGGACATACCTGTGGCTTGTCTAACACAAGGTACCATGCAAAAGTAACAATCATTAATATGATTTGTAGGCTCTCTGCAAACCATTGGAACAGCAAAGCGCATAGACCGTTTTTTGCCATTTAACCAGCTCCTCAGACTTGAAGCACATGTATTACAGCAGATGTGGGGTGCCCACTGTTTGTCTTGATCACCTAGTTTGCAACCGAAATAAAGCTGATATGCCTTTGTTATTAGTGGAGTAATAGACCGTCTCTGAGACGCAAAAGTCACATCACCACACACGTAACAAAACTGATCTGGATTGTTTACACACTTTCGAGACATCTTGCATGAACGCTGTCAGCCAACTGAGGAAAAAATGGCTAATATAAAACAATATAATGTACATGTATGTATAACGTAACACAATCATGCCGATTACATCATCTTTCCTTGCCGAATATAAAAATGTAACACGTGCATTCTTGTGAATTACAGTATATTAACACTGTCACAGCAAGAACACATATAATTACCGTATCTCTAAAACTTGAACTAATATTGAAAAAATAAGTTTCATTCCGGTTTTAGCACATTAAAAATAGTAATATTTTGTTGATTTTATTTAGGATATTTTTTGGCTGTTGATCAGTGTAATAAAAAAGTTAGGGCCGGAAACCGAGGCAAGATTGAGGTTTTCGCACCTGTTGGTAATGCGACGATAGCTTCACACAGATACTTGAAATTTTTCAACTTCGTGGGCTTCATACTTCTAAATAACGCCAACGAAATTGGAGTCGATTGGTCTAGTAGTTTTTGAGAATTTCTAATTGTTTATCCCCCTCGTTTTTCTCGTAAAAATAACAATTATCTCTCGGAATGGTTTGTGAGCCATGTCGGCAAGGTGGACTCGTGTATTTCGCTATAAAATGCCCTTTGAACGAACCTTGTATATTGCGCAGTAAACTAGTAACGATAGCCGGAAGACAGTTGCTTTGGGATAAACAACTAAACATCAGGTATAACTTCATCATATACTGCCACACATTTTGAATTAGGTACTTTAAGTACAAAAGCTAAAGGTGCCACAGCTCAGCCTATCAGCTTTGGTAAGAATTACATACCGCGGTCCTGATACAATGTAATCACAAGCTAACCAAATGTTCGACTTATCGATTTTCCCTATACACACATATTATCATCGTGAAACTTCCTGTCATCTCTTTATACTTTACCCATACATATCAAGCTCTGGCGTTTCCTCTTAGCTGTGCAGCGAACTATTAAACTACAGCACAACTGCATTAAAACTCTGTCGATGTTTGTGGACGAAGTTGTACGACAAGTTAAAAGTCTGGAAGTTCATAGGTTCGCATACATCCATAGAGCGTCTTTGTGTACGATGCATATATTCTCACGGGGCGAAATGATAGAGAATTCTAGCTTCAAGACTGTACTTCCAAAATTGAAATACGTATATGACCATCATTTGCTTATTGGTTAGATGTATCTGTACCACTGGGTCATTTAGTTCAAGACATTGTTTCGCAATTTGTCTTCCCAATTGTTTATGTAACGAAATATCAGTTTGTGAATAAGGTCAAGGCTAACATTTAAAGGTATCTACCAAGGAGTTTGGAGTGTGGAAAAGAAGTTACTAAAACAGTTAGTCAGTATTGAGGCAAATTAAGTAATGTGTGAGAATGTAAACAGAAAAGTTGCCTAGGCGTATCTAGCTGGAGCAGTATAATGGGGGTCAAGCGAACGAGGAACTGAGCGATTCCAATAAAATAATAGAGCACGTATTCAAAGCTGCATTCAAAAATGCAAGACACATAGAAAGGTACAGTCTGCGAAAACCAAATGTTCGCCAATTTCGGCCTGAAAGATGAATTTGGAATAGATTTAAATTAAATTAATCATAGGATGTTCTTAAAGCTCTTGACTTTTGTTTGAGTACGATTTATACTTATTAACTGAGTTCTGAAGTATCGAATATACCCATATGGTAACCCAGATCAAATTTGTTTATTTTTTTTTTAAATAAGTACAATTTTTGGTCCGGGCAATTTTTTCTCTCCGAATTTTTTGATTATTTGGGCCAAAAAATGCTTCCATTTACTTTTCTGTAAAGCTGAAAATTTAAGGCTTGTAAGCGATGTAATGTCTGAAATGCCGTGAAAATGGGTATATTCAATTCTTGAAAAATCGGTAGAAAATTAAATTTTTGATGTTACCAAGTATCTAAATTTAAGATTAAACGAGGTTCTAGAAGACCCCGAAGAGTATTAGAATTACTTTGTTCTAAAGCGACTTTCAAGCTAATCCGTTGGACAAAAAGCCGAACTTTTGGTTTTCGAAGACTGTACGCTGGACACATGAGTATTTGCAGTGCCGTCTGAGCTCCGATGCACATCTTAATCTTTCATGATGCTTCCCTCAGAATAAAAACAGCTAAATATGTACACTGCGGAAACAATGTAACCAATGGTGTAGATAGTGTATAAAATAACATATATTATGTTCTGTCCTCATCGTAGTAAATATTTAGAATATATAATGTAGTACAGTCGTAGTGTACCAAACCCCCACGACTTCAAAGCGCGCACGCAGCGAAGGAAAGCGGCACCGTACCCCTCCCTACCTGCCTCCTCTCTGACCGCCCATAAACTCGTTCCTTGTTCTCGTGTCAAACCGTTAACATGTCAATCGGCGCGCGTCGTTTTTACGTTTTCAGCAGTGTCGAGGAACCGCTGAACACTTAGTATTAGAGAACAGGGCAGAAGGTTGGCCGATAGATGTGCATTGTCGACGAGATCCCGACCGACCGTCGCCTCGAGGTTCCTTTCGTCGCGAAGCAAAATTAGAAAGTGGCGTGCAGACCTCTTTTGTGAAGGGGCGTCACCATCAGGTAATTGTCGACTAACCGTTTTAGGTGCAAGTTAGGTGAATATTAGTATGGATGCCTCAACGGCGCTGTGGAGAGTGTGCCTGACACGACGTTTGGGATAACGTTTAGACACTGTTGCTTGGGATAGCAACGTGGACTTAGCTTGGGATAGTCAGCTCCACACCAAGGACAAACGAAAACGTTTGGGATAACGTTGTAGCATTGGACTCGGTTGCTTGGGATAGAAACATGGACCTAGCTTGTAATAGTCAGCTCCACACCAACGACGGATGAAGATGTTTGGGAGAATGACTGAATACTGAAGTCCGTTGCTTGTGATGGTAACTTGTACTTAGCTTGTGATGATTGAGATCCTACGACAAGTAACAACACTGAAAGCGTTCGGGATAACGTAGCAACAAGCTATGGTCAACAATCTCTTCTCATCTGCTTGTGATAGCAAATTTCACCCGGTTTGGGACAGGACTGGAAGTTTAAACATGGCAGGTTAGGAAGTCATTAAGATATATTTTTTCCTTATTACCAGATAAAGATTAGGTATCTTATGCGACGTTAGCGTCACATTTTGCTTAGGATGGCTAATTCCATCTGGTTTGTGATAGCCTTGGAACAGCATTAGATTGCAAAAGACAGTTTAGGAAACCGATGTACCATTTTTCATTAATAACAGATGGAGATTAGGTTCAACTATGCAAGACTAGCGTTACATTTTGTTAGAGATAGCAAATTCCATCTGGTTTGTGATAACTATGGAACAATACTATAAGGGTGCACATGAGAAGTTAGGAAACCGCCGAAGTACCATTTTTCATAATTAAATGACAGAGATTAGGTAACTCTATGTGAGACTAGCATTACATTTTGCTTGTGATAGCAAATTTCACGTGGTTTGTGATAATCATACTACAGCTGTGTAATTATGAACATGCCAGGTTAGGAAACCGCCAATGTATATCTTTTTCTTATCACCAGATAGAGAATAGGCACCTTCTGCGAGGTTAGCGTTACATACATCACTGCCAGAATTCACATGACGGCTTAGGAAACCACTGAAGTACCATTTTTCGTTGATGGCAGATAAAGATTAGGTTTTATCTATGCGAGACTAGCGTTACATTCTGCTTGTGACAGCAAATTCCATATGGTTTGGAATAGCCATCGAACAGGTTAATAATATGCACATGACAGGTTACGAAACAGCTAAAGTACTATTTTTCATTAACAACATATGAAAATTAGGTACATCTATGGTAGACTAGCGTTACATTTTGCTTGTGATAGCAAACTCCACCTGGCTGGTGATAACTACGGAACAGGTCTGTACATGACCGGTTAGGAAAGGCTTCCATTGATATCTTGTTCTTCGGTGTAGTCAATTCTACACAGATATCAAATAAATATGAGCAGCGGCTGAAGGCCAAAAGGCCAGACAACGTACTGACAACATCAGATATTACTCATTATTGCAGATAAAGTACGTAGATCAACGGGGTAATTGACGCGTATTCATCATCAATGGCAGTGCCTTAGAGAGCTTGTCGATGGTGCCGGACGTTTTCACGTTTTGGGAAAGATATTACACAGGCTGATGAAATAAGCGATAAAATGGACATCAATCAAGAAGTTCTTATAACATTAGTTCAAGAAAGGCCGGTGATCTGGGATAAGACGATAGAAGGTTATAAAAATAAACGCCTGAAGTTTGATTGCTGGAAAGAAATATTCGTACAATTGAATCCCGCATTTGAAGATTTAAGTGGTGAAGAAAAGAACACTTTTGGTTAGTAACTGATATATTTCTCACTTACAGTAATCCACTTAAGCATAGTTATTTTGATAAGAGAGGCTACCTTCGTTAGACATAAAATATTGTGCAAATTTGTTGCGAACATCGTTAGCTAACAAATTTCCGCGAACTGCATTCGTCATAGGTAACTGTGTTAGTTCCGATTCTGATTCAAAGGTTGATTCTCTTTCACTCGTATTATCAAACTGAAACTTTTCCTCTTTATGTACAAAATTTTGTAAAATGCAACAAGCTTTCACAATATCCACAGCCAAATCGATGGAAACATTCAGTGGCCGGTGGAGAATACGCCATTTATTGGCTAAAATGCCAAAACCACATTCAACAAATCTTCGTGCTCTTGTGAGTCGATAATTGAACGTTCGTTTTAATTGGTCAAGTTGATGGCCTCCGAATGGACGAAGTAAGTGATAGTGCAGAGCAAAGGCTCGTCTCCAACAAACACAAACGGTAATTTGTAGTCTGTTCCAGGCAAGCGGATTTCGTCGGGTAGGTTCAGTGTATTGTTTGTTAAGTTTTTCCAAAATGCAGTTTCTTTGAAAACACTGGAATCACATTCCTTTCCGTAGGCACCAATATCAACAAATATAAAATTGTAATCGCTATCTACTACCGCCATTAAAACTATAGAAAAATAATGTTTGTAATTCAAAAACATCGAACCACTATCCACTGGCTTAATCACTCTGATGTGTTTACCATCGACTGCACCTAAGCATAGCGGGAAATCAGAAGATTCTTGAAACTTGTTAGCCATTTGTAGCCAGTCTTCCTTAGAAGGCATTTTCATATACTCTTTGCACAGTTCTGACCAAATACACTGGCAAACTTCACGTACGATGCAACTTATGGTTTTTACTCCAATTCTATAGGTGTAGTGTAGGTCTGTAAACGTAGCTCCTGTTGCTAGGTATCTGAAATACAATGATAAAAATTAATTTTATTTACAGGGCAACATGTGATGAAAAAATGGACCAATATGAAAGATAATTGGATGAAATGTCATAAAAAAACGGGTGAATATAAATCTGGCGCTGGAGCACACAAAATAAGAAAATACAATTTTTATGATCGAATGCTATTCTTAAGCAAAATTGTAGAACATCGCAAGACTGATTCCAGTATGGATGAGCATGTTAATAGTTCAGGCATCAATAATGAAAATGCAGAACCGAATCCATCAAGATCACAGAACGGTAAAGCGAGTGAGGCTCCAAAGGCTAAGCAGAAGAAAAAAAATAATCAACTTAGTGAGGTTGACATTAAGTTTATGAAGTTTATGGATGTAACGGCACAGGAGGAGAAAAGCCGCAGTATGAACTTTTTTAGAGGAATTTCTGATTCAGTTGACAAGTTTACTGATGAAAACATGATAGACTTCCAGTTTCAAGTCATTTCAATAATTAAAAGCATACAAGAAAGAGAAAATAACCGATATATAGCAGCACCTAGAAACCAATGGGATCATGGCCAGCAAGGATATCAAAGCGGCACAACACCTGCGAATTCACAGTTTTCAGTGTATGGGCATTCCACAGCTGCTCGATCAGGCTTTGGAATCAATGGCCAGGAATACGATTTTGGACATAGCTCTGGTTTAGAGCCCATCCCCAACCGACCAGAATCGCAAGCATCTGCTCAAAGTGTGAATACAGAAAGTACCTCTGCAAATTCTCAAGCCAGTACTGAAGAATTCGATTTTAGCTCTGCATTTCGGGAGCATCTTTAGCTTCAACTTAGTTTTTTTACGTAACTTATAATCATTCATAGTACAAGTTCGTTTGAGATACAAGGCTTTGTATTAATACATAAATTTAAGTAAAAGTATTTAGTTTGATTTTTTACTTACCTCAACGTTACAGCCAATCTTTCTGCGGGAGGTATGCTTTGTCGCATATTGGTATCTTGGTGCTTTAATTTCTGTGATAATTTTTGCAGCAGTTTATCGAAAGTTGTTTTCTGCATTCTGAAATAATTGTAAAACTTGGCTTCATCCTCCCTCAATTGATTCTTGACAAGCGTATGAAATGCGCCTAATTCTCCCCGTTTTTTCAAGATCGGGTGTATCCAAAACCTTCTTTTTCTTCTCTCTTGTTTTTTCAGTCTTCTATACCATAGTACGCAAGCACAATCTTTTTCTTAGGATTCATGGCGAGGACTTCTATAGTTTGCCGCAGAAAAGTCTCAACTGAGCTCACTTGGATTCATTCGACGGGCACCTTTGCCGTGCCCCGTGCAAGCTTGCACGTTTTTGTAACCGTACGGCAAATTTGCCGTACGGCAAAAAAAACGTGTCGTGAACAAGAGGCCTTAGGAGTGGCGCTAAAGTCCTGAGTTGGATTCAAGTGGTCACTGGCGACTAGCTCAGCACTTTGCAATAGCTGAGTCTCATTGGTCCATCTATGAACTACCGACCTTCGACAGTCTCTCAATTGCTTAGCTGCGGTGCTATCAGTAAAAAAGTTGAGCTAACTAAAAATCAGCACCTATCCAATAGCACAATTAAGGCTAGGCTGTTGAAGTGGGATCAGACTTATACGCAGAGGAACTTTCTTAACGAATCTGGATTTGGAATACACAATTCAGGTGCACACGGTTGACGAATTACGTGTGATAATAATTGTGCTGCTGCATTTATTCGGGAAAGGGACTCCACTCTAAAAGCCTGAACCGATGCTTGGCTACGTCGAGCACGCAAATATGCTTCTGAATCCAACGGCAACAACTTCGAATAGTAGGTACTTATAAAATACGTTCACCAAGAAAAGGTGTCACCGACGTGCTATTTTCGATCTCTTTTTTATTATTTTTATTACATCATATGCTCCTCGGATGTTACGACAGAGCCGTACTTGGAACTTCAATTCAACTGAACAGCGAGTACTACTTTCATTTATTTTCTTTTTACTAATTCGCTCACGTTACACCAAACATTAGCTTCGTTATATAAAGCATAGTTGTGTCCGAAAAAGAAAACCCCAACTTTGCGGACGCCCTGTATATTTCCCCAGAGTGGATGAAACCTGTGACAGCTGCCAAGCTATAATGCGCTTCATTTTTTTTGTTCCACCCCAAAGAATACTGTATATATCGTATTAACTCCCTATCTCCTGTAATCCCGTTGGATTTTATACAGACGACAAGCAAAAAATCGGCCGCACCGTCAAGGCGGCGTGCCGCAAAAAATAATTGAATCCATTATATTAAATTCCAAACGACTCTCTCACTCAGCTAGCACAAAAAGGCACTCCTTTTAAACTCTTAACCGCATACGAGGGTTTCTCGTGAATTGGTAGTAACAGCACTATTAGGGAAGTTGCAGTGTTTTTGTGATTGCCTTCGTTTTAAATGATTCCATAGTTCATGGAAAAATTAATACAAAGCAATGTATGCTAAGTTGCATATAAATCCGAACACCCAGTTTAAATGGTTTTATTTTAATAAAATTTTGTACAAGTACTTAATGAAGCATAATAAATAAATGATAAAAATTTCAAAATGATTGCACTGCTTTAAAGCCCTTTGACCTTTAATAATGTATGGATGCACCCTGATGTGCTACGCATTCTCCAACGCGCCTAGGCATGCTTCTGATCAGGTGGTCAATGTCCTCCTGTGGTATCTCATTTAAGGCAACCACCAGCTCCTCTCGAAGTGCTTCTAGAGTCTGAGGAGGACGTTACAAATTGAGCAATCTCCTACCCATCATATCCCACACGTGCTCAATTGGGGATAAGTCGGGAGATTTTGGTGGCCATGGTAACAATGTGACATCATTATGTTGAAAGAAGTCTATTGTGACTCTTGCAACATGTGGTCGGGCATTATCTTGTTGGAAAGTTGGATCTGCCAGGGTGTCCAGATAGGGTAAAATATGGGGTACTAGAACTTCGTGGATATAACGCTGCGCGTTCATGTTACCTCAGATGAAGATTAAAGGTGACCTGGAACCATGAGCTATAGCACCCCAAACCATAACTCCAACAGTGTGATGAACATGTCTTTCAACAAAAAACTGTGGATTCCTCCTGTCACCACGTCGCCTTCTAACCCTGGCACTACCATCGTGCATGCCTAAACAAAATCGAGACTCGTCACTAAAGACAATACTGTTCCATTCCTGATCCCAGAGTGACCGTTGTCTGCACCACTCAAGGCGATTACGTCGGTGTTCTCGAGTTAAAGGGAGGACCCAGTGTGGCCGCTATGAAAACAAGCCAAAACTTCTCATTCGTCGGTAAACACTTCGCATGCCAATAGGTCTTCCGTGTTCTGCAAACCATTCATTTGCAATGGACCTGGTACTGGAGAAACGGTCCCTTAAGACCAATAATCTTAGGCGGCGATCTTCACGGTCTGTTGTTCTACGGCGGCGTCCAGTGCCGCTTGCTCTTTGCGTACGGCCTTCTCGAAGCCATACCTGACAACACCTAACCACAGTGTCTACACTTCTTTGCACTCTAACTGCAATTGCCCGAAAAGAAAGTCCAGCTTCCCGAAGTCCCACTATACGGCCCCTATCAAACTCGTACAGGTCTCCGTACTCTACGCATCGTAACCGATCGTAAAGGATGTCAAGAACCAAAATCCGCCAACGTTGATTCTTTACTGCGGCTGAAATATTTATTTTTAGAGTCTTAGTAAAAAAAAAGCAGTTTAAATCCGGAATGTCCAACTGATAAGGTTGAAAATTTTTTGACTTGTTATTTACAGTAAGATAAATACATTCACCAACATTTATTAAAATAAAACCATTTAAACTGGGTGTTCGGATTTATATGTCACTTAGTATAGTTAAAGAAAATGTTCTGTTCAGCTAACGTCTTAAATCTTCACGCAAAAGTGGATCTACAGTTATTTGCCATCACCGACGTCACAATTGGTTGAACCGAATCTTCCGATCGAATTGTACAATTTGTTAGAAAGATTTCACAATAAAACACCGAAGAAATCGTCATGCGTGACATTGGCTACTCTCAATAGATTATACACTACGTTTCGAACAGACCTCCACTTATTTTTGAACAAGGCAATCTAGAAACCCAAAATTCAAGAAGATGAAATTGATTGAATCAACGAAAAATCGTACGGTTTTGGTTTAATATACAGGCCTCCGAATATGTATGTTAATAGTTTTCTAGATGAATTTGAATGTGTTTTGAGTACGATTTATCCAACAGTTGATGAAGTCATATGCACTGGAGATTTTAATATTAACCTGATAAACGTCGATCAAGCACATGTGGTAAGATTTTATTCTGTTCTAGACTCTTTCTCGATTAAGCAAATGATAGACTGTCCAACTAGAATCTCTGGTGCATGTGCAAGTTTATTGGATCTTATCATTTCTGGCGATGAGGTTGTATTTGATACAGGTGTCATGGATAGTGGTGGTATGTCGGATCATTTTATAATTTTTGGTAAGGTAAATGTTAGTGAAGTAAGAAATAAACCTAAAATCATTACTATTCGCTCATATAAAAACTTTAATGAAGACAGTTTTTGCAGGGATCTATTTGCAACCCCATTTTTCATGCTATTTGACCAAGATAGCGCCGACTCTAAAGTTGCGTTTCTTACAAACCTGCTTACAAACCTTTTTGATAGGCATTTTCCTTTGGTATCAATGAGAGTTACTAAACCTAGAGCCCCATAGCTTACAGATGTGGTGAAGCGAATGCAGAATCTCAGAGACAGGGCGCTGCTTAGATTTAGAAGAACAGGACTGAATGCTCATTTGCGATATTATCAGGACTTGCGTAATTTAGTTAATGCTGCTATCATCAGAGAAAAAAAATCTTATTATACATACATATTAGAAAGTTGCAGTTCAACAGAAATGTGGAAAAGGTTAAGGAACAATGGAATAGTCTCTCAAAAGGATAACACCATTCCAAATTCCTTTAATGATGTCAATGAACTTAATAATTTTTTTGTTAACAGTATACCTAATATACAGCCTTCTCCTAACTTAATAAATTTCTCCAGAAATACTAGGAGGAATTCTTCAAATTTTGAATTCAAAGAAGTTAATGATTTATTTGTTTATGGAGCAATTTGCCGTATTAAAACTAATGCTCGTGGTTGCGATGGTTTTAATTTAAATTTTATTAAACTATGTTGCCCTCATATTATTCCTTATTTAACTCATATAATTAATTTTTGTTTTACGCATAATCAGGTCCCTGATCTGTGGAAGCAAGCAAATGTCTGTGTTCTGCCAAAAAAACCTAATCCTTCGTTTTACCATTTTTCTCTAAATTACTTGAGCGTGCAATGGAGGAGCAACTTTCTTATCATTTGTCACAATTTTCATTACTGCCAATTGTACAGTCTGGATTTAGGAAAAATCATAGCTGTACGGCGTCTTTACTTCATGTAACAGACGACATAATTAGAGCTACAGATCGTGGCGAGTGTACTGTTCTTGTTCTGCTGGATTTCAGCAGAGCGTTTGACACTTTAAACCATCAATTAATGCTTGCTATTTTAAATCATATTGGTCTTTCTCAAAACGCTATAGATTTATTTCAGTGCTACTTCACTAAGCGGAAACAAACAGTTGTTTTAAATGGAGTTCAGTCTTTATCTTTAAATTTGAAATCCGGCGTACCCCAAGGGCCCATACTTGGACCACTCCTATTTCTAATTTATACATCTAATTTCATGCACTTCCTTAGTCTATGTAATGTGCATTTTTACGCTGATGACACCCAAATCTATTGCAGCTTCCCCCCACAATTGATGGATCGTTTCTCGTTGATCATTAATAATGAGCTAAACTCCTTTGTAGAATGTGCCACACGCCACTGCCTTTTAATAAATCCATCAAAGTCTCACGTAATTGTTTTTGGACCTAGACAAAATAAAAATGTTATAGAGAATCTTATTAAAATTGAGATAAATGGTGTAACTCTCAAAATAATGGACAATGTAAAAAATTTAGGTGTTGTGATTGATAGTAATCTTCGATTTGAGTATCACATCAACAAAATTATGCAGAGAGCATATTTGTCGTTGAAATTTATTTACGGTAGCCGGAAATTTCTCTCGTTAAAACTTAAGATCATGCTATGTGATACTTTATCTTTATTCAACTACGCTGGTGTGCTTTACGGCCCACACTTAACTAACCTGTATCGACGTAAAGTTCAACTGGTTCAAAACTCAGGCTTGCGCCTTGCATTTGGTATACAGAGGAGACATAGAATATCTCACAAATTGAAAGATGCAGGTTGGTTAAATATGGAACACCACAATATCTTTATCAAAAAATAACCTACCGGACTGACGTTCATAACATTAACGTAAGTA